TGCATGAGACAAGTGCTCGGGCCTGGTGCACTGGGAAGACCCAGAGGGATCGGGTGGAGAGGGAGGTGGGAGGGGGGACCAGGATGGGGAATACATGTAAATCCATGGCTAATTCATTTCAATGTATGACAAAAACCACTGCAATGATGTAAAGTAATTAGCCTCCAACTAATAAAAAAAAAAAACAAAAACAGCAATGCAGCCCTCTTTCATTCCTTTCAAGGAAATATTGCTTCACCCCAAGGATGCTCCTAAGCTGTTGCATCTACACATCTTGCTCAAGTATGGAATGTTGTGTTTTCTGCACCTTATTTGACCGATTCATTAATTTCAGAAGGATTATTAAGCACTTTCTGTTCCAGGACTGACCTAGTAACTGTTCCACTGCTACTTAATCTGGCAGCAGAGCAGGCGCCAGTCCTCACCAGGCTAATTCATGTGCCTTCTGTGGAAGGATATTCAGCCCCAACTCAGCGTCTTTTTTTTTTTTTTAGCCTGGCACAGTTCTCTGCATCATTGAGGACCTCAGGGTGCTTCTTGCCAATGTCCAGATGTTGGACAATTCATAGAAAGGGGACAGCGCAACTATGGTCTGAGAAGCAGTGGGACAGAGGCTGTGACACACTCAGGACCTGAGCATGTCCTCCCCGTCCTCACTTCCATGCCCCTGGCTCCTCTACTCACCCTGTGTAGTGATTGCCTGGAGCCATGGGAGCCTCCAACATGGTCACATCTGCTCCGTGTTGGGTCCTCCTGCTGGGTGCTGCTTCCTGTCCCTGTCACAGCCCAGACCTCCATCGTCTGTCCCAAGCAGGGCTGACCACCACACTCCCATGGAACATGGGGACCCACTGTGTGATGGCCAGAGGAATGGTCAGAGGAGATTGAGTCTAAAGAGGTAGGAGTGGGGAGGGAAGGTGGGCACAGGGCAACTGTGCCTCCCAGGGAGGGGAAGAGGATCAGTGAGAGGGTGGAGGTTGGTTTCAGAGATGCCACATTTTCTAGGGATCAGAGCTGTAGCATCGTGGACCTGGCTCTCTTTGCAGGGAGAGCGCTCTGTGCCGGTGGGGGTGTGCAGGCAGAGGCTGGATGGTCAGTGAGGGGGAGAAGGGATGATCCTCACATTCCCTCTCCTCCTGAACTTCTCTCAGAAGGTGGTATGTGAGAGCCAGCCTTCTAACAACAGAGGGTGGGTGGAAGAGTGCGTGGTCCAGCCTTCCTCTCCTGGGCTACTTGACCCCACCCTCACATGGCGGCAGAGGGGATGCTGGTAGACCCCTCAAATCCAGGGTTGGACCTGGTGCTCAGGGTGGAGTTGAGGGTCTGCCCCACACACCTTAGCCACGCACCTGGCCAGGTCCTCGGCCCACACACTCACACCAGGGGGGGGCCATGTCCTTGCCCTCCACTCTGCCCACCCATGTGGTCACCCACATAATGATGTCAAACGTGACCAGAGGGACCATCTCCCACCCACCACCCCAGGTTGAGTGACTTTGCTTCTGTGTCCACTGGGGTTTCTGGCTTCATATTTGAGACCATTTCCCAGAACCATGTGTTCACCTCACGGGCCCTTGGGTCATCACAACAGTGACCCTAGGATGCCTGGGGGAGTACATGAGAAGCAATTGGCATTTTCATCTGGGAAGCCAAGCTCCTGGGTTTGTTTTTGAAAAAACAAACTCACATTCCTTTGGCTTTTGAGATGACCCAAGTGGGGCTGTGGTGGTGGGTTCAGTAAACCTTTGAGTTGAGCCTGAGAAGTACTTTCCCAGGCAAAGCAGAAGAATCCATGCCGTCTATGAGTGTCTATTTGTAGTGACTGTGTCCTGAGCCCTTTCCTTCTGAACTCTCGTTACTCGTGTGGTCTAAGCTCCTGCAGCATCAGCTTGAGAAGCCAAGAGCTCATCAGAAATGCAGAAGCTTGGGCACCAAAGTAAAATCTACATTTACTATAGAACCCCTGATTATTTCTCCTCTCATTAAGCTCAGACCTGCTGCCCTAACTGACCCTGCCCAGGGCAGTGGGGCGTGGGGGACCATGTTGTCCAGAATCCAGGCTCCCAGGACTCACGTGTCAGTGATGCTGGCCACGCCCTGCTAAGTGATGACCACACTACTGCTGTGATGTCAGGAGGGGCATGGCTCACCCAGGACCCTGTGCTCCCAGGGTGGACAGGACTCCTGACCCAGGACTGTGCTGAGGATAATGACGTGGTGTTGAGGGCCCCCTCTCTCGTCCACCTCTGCCCTCCTGTGCAGGGAAGTGAGAGTGAGGAGTGGGCAGAGGAGGGCAGCAGGCTCTGGCTGCAGGAACTCCTGGGTCTTAATGGAAGCAGAGGAGGGCATGGATTCAGTTCACCTGCCCTTCCACACTCTCCATCAGCTGGGAAGCATGTCAAGCTGCCTGCACCTTGGGGACACTCTTCTGGGAAGATCTCTCCACCGGCACAGCAGGTCTTGGGGCCTCGAACGGCCAATTAGGTGAAGTTGTTTGTGCTCTGGCCTCTAAAGTGCCCTGGGACTTCCGCTTCTATGTTCCCTGTGGCCACCCTTTTTCTGACCCCTCTCACCTGCAGGGCTGGGAACCAAACCCAGAAATTCCTCTGAACCTCAGAGCAATGAACAGGAGGTAAGCACCGAGTCTGACAGCAGACCCCATGGCCGTCCCTCAGGGACAAGAGATGTGGGTCCTGGGCCCAGAGCCCCTCCTCCTAACCAAGCCCTTTTGCTACATTCCCACTATGTTGGCTGAGATAAAGTGACCTGGTGTAAAAGAGTCCTGCCTTGAGGAACTGGGTCCCTCCCTTCTATGATGGTTCTCTCCCTCAAGACCCATGATCTTGTGCAAATCACTCTGTCCTTATCATATGTATCAGTTAATTTAAGAGCATCCTTTTTTACATTTTTTTTATTTCTAACATACGTATTTAAAATTATCTATTAAAAAATTCAAAATGAACATCTGCTTGCAGAAATCCAAGCAATGAAGACATGGCAAAGGAAAAAGAGAAACTTTAACCCAAGTAAAACCTCAGTCCTATTTAGAACCAGGTGATTCCCTACAGACATGTGTGCATGCTGGTGGGTTTTATTTTATTGGTTTTAACTTTTCTAAAATATGGATCATGACATTCATTAATTCTACAAGATGATCTTTTAACTAACTCCATGAATATCTAAGTCAGTTTTTTGCATTTAATGGGTATATTAACTAAATTTATTTATTCATCATATTAGTGGACCATGAGACTAATTTTTCTATTATAAACAATATGGCGAAGAATGCTCACTCTGTTCTCCTGGTCACATTGCTGGGGACTGGCAGCTGATCTTTATGCCAATTCCCTATTGCACTCCAAGTCCTAGTACAATTTCTGCCTCTGGCATCAGCACATGAAAAATGCACATGGGTCTCCCTCACTAGTACTTAACATCTTTCATCTTCTTAATATTTGTGCATCTCACATGGTGTGATGACTCGTTATACCAACTTGACTGGGCCAGGGGATGTCCAGATATTTGGCCAAACATGATTCTAGGTATTTGGGTGAGGGTGTTTTTGGATGGGTTTTAAATTGGTACACAGGGCAAAGCAGATTGCACTCCCTAATGTAGGTGGGCCTCGTCCAATCAGTTGAAAGCTTGAATAGCAGAAGACCTTGACCCACCTCTAAATAAGAAGGAATTCTGTCTGCCTGACTGTCTTTTAAGCTGGGACATCAGGGTTTTCCTGTTCTGGTACTCGAAACTGAAAACAGCAGCTCTTCCTGAATCCAGAGCCTCCCAACCACAGCTCTGGGGGCCTGTTGGCATCCATAACAGTGTGGGGTGATTCCTTGTAGTGACTCTCTTTCTATATGTATCTGTGTTGTTGTTTAGTTGTTGGTTGTATCTGACTCTTTGTGACCCGGGGACTGTAGCCCGCCAGGCTCTTCTGTCCATGGGATTTCCCAGGCAAGACTACTGCAGTGCGTTGCCATTTCTTTCTCCAGGGCATCATCCCGACCCAGGGATTGAACCCATGTCTCCTGCGTTGGCAGGTGGGTTCTTTATCACTGAACCACCAGGGAAGCCCTATACATGTCTGTACATGTCCTGTAGGCTCCGGGTCTCTGGGGAACCCTGGCTGATCCACTAAAACTTGTATCTACTTTTGACGAGCACAACTCTTAGTGTGGACAAACATCTTTCCATACAGCTGTTGGCTGTTCGTATTTCTAATTCTGTTATCTGCTTCTTTACAAGCACGTTGCAGTAACACAGTCCTGCCTGGGAGCTGTGATCCAAATTAGACAAACAGGGGAGGGTGAGCCTGGACTTGCCCCCTTCTCTGCAGACCACAGCCCCAGGAACACTGGCCTGATAGCCCATATCACTGGGCTTACTCATTCACATACTTGCTGTTCCAGTATGAGGCAGAGCTCTTCCCACTTACTTTAGTCTTTGGCCTTAAAAATCCTTCCTAACCTCATCCTAGACCAAACTCTGGTCCCCTTCCCTGCTGGGAGGAAAACTTCCCACACAACAGTCAGTCTTTGCTCTCTCAGTCTCTGCTTCCTGTTTCACAAAAATTTTTCTTTTTTTCCGTGGATTCAGAGCTCTTCACATATTCAGTTCAGTTCAGTCACTCAGCCGTGTCCGACTCTTTGTGGCCCCATAGACTGCAGCACGCCAGGCTTCCCTGTCCATCACCAACTCCCGGAGTTTACTCAAACTCATGTCCGTTGAATCAGTGA